GTGTCGTCGCACCGTTCACATTCTACTAGGTGAAATAAGATTTTAAAGAGGTAGTAGCGATCGGTATGTTAACTACGTAATCGAACCTGCAGTACGAAGCGTACTCCGGTAGTCGTAAACTTTTATCTAACGCCTTCGAAGCAGCGTTCTATATAAGAAGAAAGGTAGAGAGAGAGAGAGAGAGAGAGAGAGAGAGAAAGAGAGAACAAGGAGAGTCCTTAAATTTTTACGACTTTGCATTGCAAATCGAGAGGTCGTAGCGACACGGAACGTATGGCTATTGTAGTAAGCTTCGGGGAATATAAAAAAAAAAAAGTAACGCTAGTTTTTGAGTAAGTAGGTTGCATGCATTAATTTGCTACATTTCGCGGTTGGGAAAATTTATCTGCCAGGACTGATTTCCATGCTCGCTGCTTGTTCCGCATCGCATACGTTTTACATGGGGCAAATGTAAAACGCTTGATTTACTACCCGGCTCGCACCCACTCCATAATTTCTATGTGTCGTTACGACTTTTCAAGCGATACGCTAACGTCGACTTGAAAACGTTCGTTCGATAGAATGCAAGAGAGAAAAAAAGAACAAAGTAAAAAGATTAATCATAAAATCGATTAGGAAAGCGTGCAATTTATGGAAACAAAAGCGATCTTTTATTCGAAATATCAAGAGAAGTTTCAATTACTGAAAATAATTTAAACTATTGTTGACATTTAACAAGATCAAAACCGTAAAATGAGCCTACGATTTTTTTTATATTTCATTCATTGTTTTTAACGAACATAGTTATTCTCTTTTAACCTCGTTTAACAAAACTTACTTTCTTTCTTTAGGAAACATCAATGTTTCTCGCGACGTTCCTATTTAGGTACGATCCAAAGCGTCCAATTGGTTTAGCATTAGCGTAGAAAACTTTGAATTACGAATGTGCCGCGAATATCCATTAGTTTTTTCTCTAACTCTCTCTTTCTTCGCCTACTTGAAAATTTCTACACGGCTGCGACGAGTCTAGCATGTTTCTTGGATTAGAATCAAGCTAACGTGTGTGTGTGTGTATGCGCGTATACACATATATATATATAAAAGTTTTTTTTCGAGTAGGTACGCGAGAACGCCACTCTTGCCGGTGGTAGTAACGTTTCTTAGGGAAATAAAGCGGTCTCTTCCATTATCCATGTAATTTTCAATTTTCTCTGCTTGAGATTAACGATATAATAAAGATAAAGAGAAGCGCGGTCGGTGAATTTATAGTCGACAACTCGAGAACCATGGTATACCGTACTAGAAAGAAAAATACTGTTTACGACATAATTGTCTTAATAAACAAATGTGTACTTTTGAGAAGGTTATTTTCTTTGATAGAAAATAATAAGTAGGTGTATTTAAAAACATAAGAAGAAAGGTAACAAAAAGGTTGTTTTTCAGAATGAAAAAGCAGCGAGTTTATTTATGCAGAGTTCAACGAGACAAATATTTACTATCGTAATTACCTTTCCCTTTATAAAGCATCAATAAACGATATGTGTAAACTATGATCCCGAATTGTAGAAAAAGACGGGAAAGAAACACAGAAAGATATACGAAGAACGATTGAGAAAACTTTATCGCGAGACAGCCGTCGTCATTGTCGACGCAATTAACAGTAACTTTAGGTATGTCGGAGTCGGCGTTGAAACAACATCGGAGCAGTTCTGATATCCGATGCTGCTTAGACATTCGCTGCTCAAATATTCCTGGAGTCTCCGCTTGTGCTTCGAACGCGGATCGCCAGAGACGCCGGAGACACCTAACTGAGCACACACATTTATAAGCGACGCATACAACGAACGTCTCGGGACACACAGAGAATTCTACAAGAAGGAACAATTCTCGAGTAGCGTGGAAAGAGAGAGAGAGAGAAAGAGAGAGAGAGAGAGAGAGAGAGAAAAGACTCGTAGGTATCAAGGGTGTGCGAAGGATGCAAACCTGACACGACAGGTACTTACTGCACCAAGACACACATACGTATAAATGCACAGTAAGAATAAGATAGAGATAGAGGAGAGAAAGAGAAAGACGATCTCTAACGCATTCTCATGACTGTCGACCAAACTCCCGCTTTTACTCCCACTTCTACGTAGAGAGAGAGAGAGAGAGAGAGAGAGAGAGAGAGAACTTTTTAGTGAACTGTCAAACTTTGTCGAGCCACGAATTACTCGTTCCAACGCATTCCCCTAGTGCGCTTTCATTGAACATAACAGAGATCAAAGACTCCGGTGCGAAATGGATTAGAATTTCAGAAACACGAAACATACTTTGGTCCGTCTCTTTTCCTCTTTCAATGAACATTGAAAGAAATACAATCCTCTTTCGCTTGCTAAATGTTATCGATTTTCGATCGAAGGACTTTAACTAAATAGACGAATGAGTTATTTTCGGAGGAATTATTTCAAGCTTTTCGTACGGCATTCATTGTAAACCGATTGACCCGCAACCAATGCGTTAACCTATTACGTTCTTTCCTATCGGGTATTGTAAATCTCATTTAATTAAGTCTCATGTAAAAAGTTCTAACAATACCTTTCGATCCCGTTTGCAATTTCGTTTTCTGCTGTCTCTCTCTTTCTCTCTCACACACACACACACACACACACACACACACACGCATACACACCTACGTTTCCGATAGCTCCCTGCTCACTTCTCTTCCCTTTTCCGCTCATCATGCCACAGAGTCGATCGCGCGAGACGAGAGAGGGATGTATTTGATTGATATTCGATCGCTCATTGTAATTGACCGAGTTTACTAAGAGACTATAAAGAGAGTATACAAATAATATGATGTATATAAGAGAGAAATATTTTTTCTTTCTTTTTCTTTTCTTTTTTTAGTTTCACATTTCATTTAGGAATAATATGAAAGAAAGTTTTTACCGTCTAGTATATAAATTGTTCAGATTCAAGGAAATCTAAGCTCTGTCCGAAGGAATTCGAAGGGTGCTTTATAAGAACCAGCGTGAGAAATATGAAGAAAAAGCGTGAGGAATGGAAGTAGCATAAGAAGAAAAATGCAGAGACGACGATCGAAGTATAGCGAATCGGCATCTACCTATCGATCGCTCACGTACGCTCCTTTGTAATTTTATTTATGCCACGTTCGACCTGTTGCGCCTTATCTTCTCGGTTCGTTTTGACGCGTTTTTTTCCCTTCCCCTCACCCCACCCCACCCCACCCACTACACATTCCTTTTTCCTCGTTTCCTTTTCTTCTTTTTATTTTACTTTTGATCGTCCTTTTCGCATAACGCGATTTTAATAGCTTCGAGCTTGTATCCATGTTCCATTACTTTAATAATATCGACCAAAAGCTTACTTCGTTTCAAACGTCAGACGCATCGTCATATCACCGTTCTATAAGCTGTTATTAAATAAATGAAATGCATTAAAAATTTAGCAATGGTCTTGAAAAGACTCAATCGAAGTTCGAACACTATCATATATAATAATATTCTGTTCGTCAATCGTGAAATCGTTGGACGAATAAATAAATCAAAAGAAACATAAATTACAGGAAATTCTCCGATGGAATATTGATATTTGTGCGCTATGAATAAAGTCATATTTGGCGTATAAAATAATTTGAATTTACCACCGATAAGTAAAAGTACTAGATACATATACCATATTGTACGATATAAATGGAAATATTACGTTCCGAATGAGAACGCGAGTAGATACATTTTCATGAATATTATTAGTTCAATCGTTTATCACCCTAAACGTCATCGCGTCGGCGATAATATTTATAGACATAAACATGGAAAAAATAAAAAATAGAAAAGAATAAAAATTATATATACGAATGTAAACCATGGATACGCGTAGAAAAAAGATATAAAACATGCGAGTATGTATAAACGACCGAGCTCCGACCATTCGTTTCTTCGTTATTTTCTACTTTGAATAGTCGTTTAAATTCAATAAGTTATAGAAAAAAGTATTCGTTTTCTGAAATAAAATAATGTTAAAATAAAATATCGAAATATATTTTTAAATACAAGTGCAAATAACTATACGTACTATGCACGTAGAAATTAAAGGGGAATTAAAAGAAAGAAGGAAAGAAAGAAAGAAAGAAAGAAAGAAATAAAAGAGAGATTGCTTTTTATCGTGGAAAGAAAGAAAAGTAGGAGAATCGTTGATCGCTCAAGAGAGAAAATCGCAAAGTGTATATCCTTTTGAGAAGGAGCAACGATTCCGGCGTTCGTGCAGTTTCAATGCGGAAACCTTCCCCGACGAGCAATTATTTTCGTCTCATTGTCCCTTTCGTCGAGTAGCGAATGAGACGTCGACGAACGGAGACGAAGGAACGACGACGCAGTCCGGTCGACAGGAAGTGGCGGCAGCTGAGACTCCGGAAGAAAGATGGCGACTACACACCGGCGTCTATTCTACCAACGACTATTCTCGCCATTATCGTCAGCTCGAGTGAAATCGTTGAAGCATGCGACGAAAGCTACGTCAACGACAAGCAACATTTACGAATCCAGTTAAATCAACTTTTTTATTTTATTTGTTCTTTTCATTTATTAATCGTCGTGTCGATGTCAAGTCGATCGACTAACTTTTCTTTCCGAACCATTCTAATTTCGCCCAAGTGCACGTAAATGCGTATAATCTTTATGCATTGCATTCGACGTTTAATTTATTTAAGGTTGTTCGTTATTCCTACTTTGGATAATGGTGACCGATCTTGATGAACGAGATCACAATATAAAGGGCGCAAATTTAATCTAGAACATATCTTTTTCGAATTTTTAAGAAAAGAATTTAAAGAAATTTCGAATTTAAAGAAAAATTTTCTCTGAGAAAAAGGTCATCTTAAAAATGATATTTTATATCCTAGATGAAATCTTGGTCTTTAAAAATGAAATCTTGTCTATCAAAATTGATCAATTTTTTTCTTTCTTCGGCTCTCTTTTCTACCTCATATATCTTATCTTTCTTTTCTTCTTTTCCAAGTATCATCGAGGGATAGATTCATCATCGATTATTTTGCGAGAATACAGAAAGGATAGAGAAGAACGCTTGCGCGCATGATTAAAATTCCTACCTTCGGGATTTCGTTTTGCTCGTTTGCTCGAAATATTCGATTGGATTACGTCGCGAATGCCGATTTTAGAATAGAGTCATTGTTAGTCTCCACATGCAACAACTTGCGAGTACTACAGACCTGGCTTGGCAGTACTTGCGATATATATAGAAATCTAATTGTAAATCACGTAATGCAAGTACTATTACAAGTACTGAATGGCTGCATATTTCAATGTATTTTCAAAATCCCTTCAATTTAGTTCCGATCAAACACTAAGCATTATTAACACTTTACATAACCAATAATACTTTACAGGCAAATAGATAAGATATATATATATATATACATATATATCAAGTAATTATCACGTGTGTTAATTATATATGTAATATTCTTAATGCTTCTTACCCACTTAGTCGAACTCTTGCAACTGCGATGTAATCGATGTAAATTAATAAATTTGAGAAGAGCCAGAACGATTTTTACAACGTATTTTCGAAAGCGCCGTCTTTCTGAGAACTTTCGCAGCGGCCTTAATCGTCACTTCGGATAACTACAATTAATTGCAAACCGTTTTTATCCCTTGCACCAATGTATAATCATTGAGATTTAACCAACCGTCGAGAAGCGACCCATTGAAAAAATCGATAAGGACGTTACCGACGAGGTCGACTTCCGGCAATGTAGGAATTACAAAAAACAAAACACATTTTCCATAATCTTAAAAAGAAAGTGTCCTCTTTGGGAGAATCGAAGGAACGAAAAAGCGTATCAACGTACGAGCACCTTCGTTTGATCGATAAATTCTTTCAAAGAAGAGTTTTATTCGGTATAAACTTCGGTCGCTACTAAATTTACGTGTCGAGGAGTAGGTCGAAGAAAAATCATTCGAGCGTCTACGGTACGATAATTATAAATAAACGTTAGGACAAAACAAGGTGTACTTTCTATCGTTGGTATGTGCAATCGATCGAAATGGAAGCCGAGGTCGTATTGTTACTCCACGAAGAAGATAAAATCCGTTCCAAGCACAAAGTGTGTATAAAATACGTTCTAATCGTTGGAACGAATTATTCTTTATCTTATGTCACGTTATTACAGATGGGAACGTCAAATTCCAAAGGATGAGGATTATTGGGAGCGATACATTCGTAAGGAAGAAAAAAACCTAATAGTAAGAGATTCCTATCCAAATTTAACCAATTTCCCTTCGATCCACAGATATCCTCAAAGTTTATATCGTTGGATTCGTAATGACGACGACGCGAATAATGTCGATTATTTAACTCGTAATGAAAGAAAATCTTTCGCAACGAATTTTCCGCCTTGTAGGTTAAAGTCGTTTACCAAAGAAAACGATCTCGCGAGTATTAGTGAGCCTATAGTTACGGTCTTTCCTCCTACGCCATCGAAACGACCTACTAAAATATTTACTACCCGCAAAGAGGAATACAAGAGGGCTCTTGCTGAAGATATATCATTTCGAAAAGTATATTCCTCAATTTTTCCTGTAAACGCACGTAATGCTTCCAATGAGAACGAGAAAATTAAGATAAAAACTTATTTGAAAAAAAGTCCTTCTTTTTATGAAAACGAACGTCCAACAGGAACGAGCCGAAATGGAAGGAAGTCATCGACGAGTCAAACCAGGGAGACTCTTTTAAAGGCCATAAATAAAAACGATTTAGAATCAATCGGGAAACTCGTCGATAAGATCGAATTGTCCGACGATTTTGATTTTAATCGAGAAAGTTTTCATTTCGACGACACCGACGATCGTTTCGATTTACAATTTAGAACGACGCGAAACAAGGATAACGATAGAATACAATCTAATTCAGATTTAGAAAATAAATTCGAATGCGCGATATCTGCTTTAACGAAACATACCGAACGAAATAAAAGAGTCTCGGCCGATGGCGACTTCTTGAAATATTCCGTTCGATATGCTCACGAAGCATTGAAGCGTGTAACGAAAGATTTGCCCTCTGGGAATTTGGGAATAAACGAAATGACGAAGAAGGTTGGAACAATGGAGGATTCTGAAAAATATGAAAAAAAGTTTATAAACATTTCCCCTATCTCGTTGAAACCTTTATCCAGTCACGATCGCATCGAGGAAGTCGAAGATTATTTGCCGCGTACGTTGAGTCTAACAGAGAATTTTCTAAACGAATTACCAAAGATGTCGTATTTTCCACGAAAGAAACGCGATCGATGTCTTTCGTGTTTATATAAATCCCTCGAGGAGATCGGCATATCCTCGAGAAAGAACGCATACGATAGGAGGAAGGAACGGGAGGAGGAAGGAAAGTATCAACGAAATATATCCGTCGAGTGCGAGAGCAATGATGACGTTAGTTTTGCCGAGTTCAAAGACGAACAAAATCAGTGTGATTTCAGGGTGAACGAGGAGGTTAGATTCGCAACGGAACGTAGTAGTAGTGATAGTAATGGCGATGGTATAGAGGAGGCAAACAAATTCGGCTTTCCGAATATACAAGGAACCGGAGAAGGGAGAACGTCCCTCAATGAAGTTAAGGAGACGGAAGGATGTCTGCCAGTTCCGGAATTAGAATCAACGAGTCCAAATGATAAGAGGATAGCTTTCAAATCCATCTCCGTGTCGTCGGAAAGATCGAGAGGTGGTACCTCTAATTCGGACGACGACGACTCGAGCGTCGCATATATGGAATATTCGTCGACGAGATCGAAATACAGGCCGGCTTGTCACGCACCGACTATTTTGTCTCACACCTTGGAGCCTCTCAGAGCGTTGAAATTAAAAAAGTCGACGAGTATGCAAGCACGCATGGCTTTCAACGAAATCAACGACGAGTCGCCGACTATCATCGAGGCCAACGAGAGAAGTCGTGAGATAGGGTTGAAAAAAATCGGACAAACGACGATACCGATGGATACGAAAAGAGGGATAATCGAGGATGATTCCAAGTCGATGAAAAAATTGATTAAAATAAAATCCGTTTCGGAGAATTTGATCATCGACGCCAAAGTCAACGTACCAGGAAAGGGAAAATCTCTGTTGAGAAGGAGCTCCAGTTGTAAAAATTTCGAATGGACTTTGAGGGATTCTACGAGAGGTACGTCGTTGCCGCCGCCGAGCTTACGCTCGCTGGCCAAGAACGAACCGTTGTTTTCGAAGGAGGAGATCGAAGAAACGTTAAAAAATTTCGAGAAACGTAACGCATCGCCGACGTTAGCGTTGTCCACTCTTTGCGATATGTTTTTAAATCGAATTTTAGAGTCGAACGATAAGCGAGATAGGAGACGCGATAACATAGCGAAACGCTTGGTGAAATTATTAGTAGAATCGAGACGTTATTCGAATCCCGATAAGTTTCCATCTGACCTGATATTTTCCTCGAAACAGCGACCATTGTTGAACGGGCAGCGATTAAGGCGCATCCTACCCCTTGATTCTTACAATCTGATCGCACCTTTGCTGGGAATCCCTGAATATTATCCGAGGTTACACATGGCCCCTCATAAAATGGAGAAACCGATTGAACCGACGAAGGAACGATCCGATAAATCGGATTTGATCCAGGAAACCCTGGACGATTTGATAGTACGTACATAATAAATAGATCCATATCGTCTAATAGAAAACGAGACAGACACTGTATTAGAGGTATTATACGGTCAAGCTAGAACAGCGTAAATAATGCAAAAGCTATAGGAGTGGTGTGACGTAGGGCTACGTCATACACATCCAACCAAGCGATTAATACCGATCGCTCGCGGCTCGATAATCAATTTGTTAAGAACGCAACGATGATCTTTCGCTTCGGTATTAATCTTGGATTTTATTTTTCCGACGACGACGACGACGACGAGAAATTTTCTTTTATAATTTCTAGGTACACCCGCCGTCTTCGAGGGACAGCACGGTCTCGTGCGAAGAGATCGGAACGACGCGTTACAATCCTTACGGACTTTTTATGAGAAAAGAGAGGCGCAAGGTAAAGAGAGTCTCCATTTTTCAAACTTATTATTTATCCTTTATTTTACTAGTGTACGCTTTATTGTCTACCAGGCTGTCGTTTGGCGTCCCTTGACGGAATTCGACTTAAAGGGCTACGATCCACAAGCCACTCTTCGCATGAGAGCCGACAAAATTACCACGGACATATGCATGGAATTTTGCGATTGGCTGAGAAGCTTGGGAGGCTTAGAAAGAGACATCGATGAGAGGGTTCTCAAGGACATGTTCGAAATTAATTTTTCGGCGGACGCCTGTAAAACGACACAAGCGAGTAAACGATTTCTATTGGACGACATTGGGATATGTCGTATAATGATTAAATATAATATTTAAATAGATCAGTGTGAAAGAGATGGCTACCGTTCCGACGGACGTGGCAATGGCGAGATTGTGTCACGAGACGAGCGTATTGGCGACAACGAGGAAACAACTCGAGAGGGATGCCAAGGCTGAAAGTAGACCTAAACGCACCTTGGCATTTGGCACATCAATGCCAACCGATCTATTATTCATACCGCCTAGTAATCGCGTTCGAGAAACCTGGCTCAAGTGTAAAAACGTCCCACGAGAACTCGAAACGATGGACGTAGTTTGGGATGGGATAATTCATTTGGAGAGCGTGCAAGCTTTCGTTAAGTGCTTACGCATGCACCCGAAGGTATCTCATTTAATTGCTCATATGTTATTTTCTCATTTCTATAGGATCGAACGATCGATGATCTATATTTAATGATTGTAGGTTAGCCCACCTAAAATGTTCAAACGTGCTGTACTTCCGAAAACCGCCCGAAAATCGCCGTTTGTCAAGGAAAATAGCACAGATATATAAAAGGAATCTTGACGTCAATCCTCGACAATACCGAACATAAATTTATGTCAGATTATTTAACGTTCGGAGATTTCTAAACGAGCTAATCGATTTACAATATAACGAAGAAAATGTCTCTTGATGGGATACCGTGTAACCAACGGTTTAGCTCGGATTTTCTACGCGCAAACACGAGCAGGCGTGCCAACCAATAATACCGTTCGATGACACGATACCAAACGCCCGTTTCGTGTATGTGGCGTACGGTTAACCCCTAAAGCCAACGTAGTATCCCGGACGATTAGGAATCGAGGGTGAAAAATCTACGAGTGCGAAACCATAGCGTTAATTTGACTATTCACCGAAAACTATCATAAACGATGACGTTCTCTCGCGGTCAGTGTAATTGATCTATCACCTTATTTTATTTGTTTTTATTTATTTATTTTTTTTTTCTTATTCTTTTTTCTTAGATCCTCTCCCCGGTCGATCAAACGCATTAAATATACCTCGAAAATCGTTCGTGGAAGGATATTAACGGAGTATCTTCCACGTTAGACGTGTAACTTATCATGGATCATCGTTAAGCGCGCCGTCGATAATGACGTAGGACTCCCGACCGTAAGAAATATCAAAAAACGTAACGTAAAGCCAAACTCGACTCGTAGCATCTGCTTACGACAGGAACACGTTCGGGATATCGCCTTCTCTATCGTTGGTTTCAAACCCGAGGCAAGATAAGGAAAAAATAAATCAAAAAGAAGAACTCTTTTCTTCCTCTCTTTCTCTCTCTTTGGCAGGCTACGTCCACCTTCACGGTTTCGTTTCTCTCGTAGCAAATAATTTCGTGATAACGAGCATCGAATCGATGTCAAACGCTTCGCATTCGTGCCACCAACTCGATGCGAGAATAAAGATTTTCAAATTTTTTAAAACTTTCCACGTAGCAATATAGAAGGATAATAGGTATAAAACTTGGACGATTTGTTGAAGAAAAGTAATCTTGTGAAAAATAGAGGCTCTTGTCAAAAATATATGATAAAACGATGAAAAGAAAAAAGGTTTGAGACGAAGGAGAAGGATGTGTCCTGCCTGCTGTTTCTTCGTCGTTGTTACGCGCAAACACGTGGAAAAATCTAGCCGCTCACCGCAAAGACAGCCCTCGACGTTCCTCCTCCACGTTCAATCCTTTCCCTCACGTTAATTGAGCTAAAAAGAAGAAAAAAGAGCGTCGTCGTACGTTTGCCTGCGTACTCGGTTATTCGTTATTCGCGCAGCTCTTTATTCTTTCTTTCCCAGGAATTTCCCACGAGGCCAGCGGCCCTTTCTCTCCTCTCTCTCTCTCTCTCTCTCTCTCCCTCCCTCTCCCTCCCTCTCCCTCCCTCTCCCTCTCCCTCTCCCTCTCCCTCTCCCTCTCCCTCTCCCTCTCCCTCTCCCTCTCCCTCTCACTCACTTGGTGGCGCTGAAGAGAGAGAAGAGAACGAAAGGGCGGCGGAATGGAGATCCCGAAAGAAAGCACAAAGGGACTGTGCAACGAGAAAAGAGGACGAGCACGAAGAACGAAGCTGAATGAGGTGTATGAGAGGGAGGAGAGAAGAGAGTATCGGCGCATTGGTCATCGCCCGTTCGTTTCGCTTCACTTGGAACGAAGACTTGCGCTCGAGCGAGAAATTTAACAAGGCACACGCTTCCGAGACCGACAATAGCCAACTTTATGTGCCCCGTCGAATGCTCCGATTTTAATTACTTCAATTTCAACTTCCACTTGGTCGTCCGGTCATCTCCTCTTTCTCTTCGTTTATCCGTCCGTCTTTTTTACTTGCATACGAGAGCAAAAGTATCTTTTCGGAACGAATCGATCAACCTTTCGACGAAATATCCATACGTAATGTAGAATAAGTGCGTTGCTTACATCATTGCCTTCGTCTACGGGCACTTTATTAGAAAATTTACAAAGTCGTTATCGATTGCTTGCTCGATTTTAAGTAATTAAGTGGGTTCGATGTCGCAACGTCAACGTCCTTGTACTTCCGCTTAATGAACTCGAGTTTGGTAGCACTAGCAAAGTCCGTTAATTTTGTTTCACCCTCATTGATTTTATAAATGGTCGAAGAGACGTTCGAAGGTCTTTGGAAAATTCGATGTATTTGTCGGGAGCATCGAACGTGTTTGGTAGATCGAACCATCTCCTCGTCATATCTCTCTCTCTCTCTCTCTCTCTCTCTCTCTTTCCCGTTTTCCCATCATGTATTATTCATTTCGCCAAGTTCGCACTTAAAAATTCTGCCTTTCGATCGCCTATCTCGAGCCACAACTTCTCGTTCGAGATTTCGAAGCAAAGTCACAAAGGAAGGAAGTACGTACGTAGGTAGTGGGGCCCTTCGCAAAGTAGATTGACTGCAAAGTAGATACGAAGGGAATACGCGAAGAATTGCTTCACGACGCTCTATTTCTTTCCCCTCTCTCTCTCTCTCTCTCTCTCATACTCTTTGCTATGAATACACGAGATCGAGATCGCGAATCGAGTGGAATTTCAAGGGAAATTGAAATTTTTTGTATCGATGGGAGATCAACGAGTAAATCTCAACGTATCGACTAATTCCTGAAACATCGATTACCATTATGTCTATATCATTCAAAGTGATCTCGTTGAATGAATCATCACAGAGAGAGAGAGAGAGAGAGAGAGAGAGAGAGAGAGAAAGTCGATTGATTGAAATAACGATAGAGAACGCACTACTTAAAGTATTCGCATTCTCTCAATGAAATTGAAACGAAAAACGATAATCGCGCTTAATTGTATAAGGCGCAGTAAGCGAAACGTTAATGCATTATACCTTATCGTTCTTTCGATTACGCGTTCCTAGCAGCGATACGATACGAAATTAAGCTCGCAAACACACTGCAGTCTCTCGTACGTTTACAACGACTGGATCCTGAAATCGTTCTGCGGTTTTACTATTATCGCCTCGGTACATGTAATTACAATCTGTCGTATCGTTTAGTATCAAGATAGAAATGTGTACGAGGATTCGTTTGAATTTTCTCCCTGTCTATCGACGATTCTCCCTTTCCTTTCTCCGTATCTCTTTACAAAATCTCTACGTTTCGTTAGTGCCTTTCTCTTATATTATACTCCAATTTCAAACAATTATTATTATTATTCCCTCTCGTCGATCGTCCTATTAAAGATTTCATGAATAAAACTAGGACGAACGATCCTGATACGTGTCGAGCAGTTATATAACGTGTATAATGTACATATGTACATTCGCGTAAGTGGAACAAACTCGTGATTTTTATAAACCTTGGTTTATTCAAATGATGACAACTCGTCGAAACGACTATTTTCAAAAAAGAAAGAGAAATAAAAAATGACGAAGGAAGAGAGAAGCGATCCCGACAAACAATGAAAACCAACTATCCCTTTTTTCGTTTTAAAATACAGGTGGCTAAAAGAAACGTGCTTCTAGGGCGATTCGCTTCGTAACACGTTCGTTGCTCGTGACATACGAAACGGCGCAAACGTTGTAAGCGTATCTATTTGTATATACAGTAGCATGTATGTGAACATGTATGTGAAGAAAAAATTGGTGGGGGAGAAAGTGACGCGTATGTATGCTCTTTCGTAAATCAGATGGGAAGCGTTTCCTGCTGGCAGTACGAGCTCGTTCGATCTATTGTTGTAAAGTCTCTAACCGTGCCCGTAATGTCCACATGAGCCTATTATGAGTTCTATCTTCATTGCCTTTGCCAATGGTTGTTGCCACTTTTCGCAGCCCTGCTTTTCTCTCTCTCTCTCTCTCTCTCTCTCTCTCTCTCTCTCTATCTTTTGTGCCCGTTCCTTTTCCTTTCGCCCATACACGTATCCCACGTATATACGAGTAAATACATAGATGATATGATGTATGTAGGTACACACGTAAATGCAATACTCGACTCTTCCGATTTCCACGCGTCGGCACCTATGGTCCATCGATCCGCGAGCAACTCTGTTATCGTTTTCCGGAGCAGTCCAACGATAAAACAACGTTAAAGCTAACGAAGTGTGGACCAAACGAATAAACGAGAGTTTCTTTTGATCCACGATACAAAACGTAGCCGCTTGTTCTCGAATTAATTGGCAGGAACCGAAAAAAGTATGTGAGGTGAGAGAAGAAAAAAAAAGGAAAAAAAAGGGGAAAAAAAAAAAGAAAAAAGAAAATATCGTAACGCGCGAAAACTCTGGAGAACATTCAATCTCTTTATTTTCTCTACTTTTTTCGATTGAATCGTTAACACATACGTACAAAAGTGGATAAGAGTGGATCCTTGTAAAGGACGAACGGTGATGAAGAAGATGAAGAACCGAGGATGCTCGAATGAAATTTAGCCCGGCGCTAAACGGAACGTCGATGCCTATCCTTGCGAATTAGTTACAGCGAGCGAGAAGAAAATGAAGATACGCTTTTTCTTTTTCTCCTTTTTCTTTCTTTCTTTCGTTCTTTCTTTCTTCTTCGTCCTCCTCTTTTTTTTATCTTTTTCTTTCTCTTACTTTTGCATCGATTCGAGTCCCTAAAAAAGGAAAAGAAGATCCTTGTAATAATCTCGTTCCAAAGAGAAGCAAACGTCGAAAGTAAGTTCGAACTCTTCCTGCTGGCGGTTAATTTCAAACCATTCCAACGCATTTTGCGCTCTGCACTCTCATAAACGCTTGTAGAAACGAATCTCGCTTTCGTAGCCGATTCAAAGCCCGTAATGAACTTTAGCTGACATCCGGTTTTACCCGGAAGGCCACTCCCATTACAGTAGACTCTCTCGGTATCGTTACATCGATGCAAACACACCGAAACCAACAACGATTCTTCTGTTTCGTTCGTGCGTCACGTATTATTGTAAAGGACGCTAGCGTTGATGACGAGCCTTTAGCTTGTTTCCTCCTCCTCTTCCTCCTCTTCTCCGCTTTTGTCCGAGTCGCTCAGTCTCTCGGTATCCTTTGAACCGTTGACATCTCTGTTCAGTTTTAATAATTTACGTACGATCGATTTACGCTTGATAAATGGTAAAAGCTATCGCGTTAGAAGCGGTTAGCGATCGTTCCTCGATCGAATTCGATTTGAAAAAAGTAACGAGCAAAAGGTTCGTCCAAATTTTCTATCGTACGTGAAAGCGATCGTTCGTGAAAGGGTACGCTCTAACGGAGCTTATTTAAAATGGCATTCTGGACGTTCAACTCGAATGGATTTCAAGCTTTAAGCGAGTCGATCGATCCTCGCCAAGGGAATCGTTATTCGGAGGAACAATTAACGTGTTTCGAAGAACGTGGAAAACTCGACGGGTTTCCATCCCTTTCTACGTTTCCACGTTTCTGAGTTCTATGCATCGCAAAGAAGATGGATGGATAGAGAAACAGAGAGAAACAGAGAAAGGCACGAGAGCTTTTGCGTAGGCTTATTCAAACGCTACTACTTCTCTCAAACGCCTGACATCGGGACCCTCCTTCTTCAAAAGTAAGCAAAGCAATTAGACAGAATTACGAAGGAAAGAGAATGAGAAGTAGAGAGAGAGAGAGAGAGAGAGAGAGAGAGAGAGAGAGAGAAAGCGCGCGTAAAAAGGGAGCAAGCCGGGTGAAAAGTGGGTGGTCGACACTTCCACTTGGTTTAACCAAACCCTCGACCATGGACGAGCATACATCGTCGTCTTCTTTTCAAACCCCTAGTCTCTCGAGAGATCCGGACGCGTTACGTCCCTGCCGCATGCGATATACTTACGTATATGGGACACCACTTGAGAT